GACTCACTAAAAGGCACTTGAGATTTCAATAGCCAGTCTACACATGCTAGTTCTAACAAAACCACAAACACCGAGCAGAATAAGTTACAAAATTATCCTGTCAGGAAGTCGTATATGTTAATGGAACATTCAGCCCATACCATAAGAAATGCTCACTTTGCAAAGAATAGGCAGTGAGAAGGAGACACTAAGAATCTTTGATATCTGAGAATCTTGAATGTTTGATTGAAAAATAAGTGAATAAGTAAAACTGCCTCTCACCCTTTCAGAAATGGCCCAGAATTTAAATGTGTGACACAACACTTCAGAGGACAAATCATGCTTCAAATATTTCGGGAGGGTTTCCAGTTTGTTCACATTCGCATGACAATTTCTCTTAAGAATACATCACTAGAAACAGTTTTGTTTTCTTGCTGAAATGCATTAAGGGGCTACAGAATCCAACTGTAAATAGTCAACTGTACTAAGAGGTATGCTAATTTTGAGGACTCTAATTGAAACTCTAAAAAAGATCACAAATGGCAGCAACAACCATGAGCAGATACAGCAATGGGCAAACGCATGAATAGCAGAGAAATGATTTTCTATGATATAGGAATACTGTTGCTAATATTTGAAACAGACTCATTTCTGGCTTTAAGTTTTCATGGAGCATTTAGGAGTTCTATTTTATAATCTTATCCGGAAAGTGCATAGTTACCTAAAAGAATCTTGGATTAAATAAGAGGTGTGTGATACATGCCCAGTCAATAGGCCACAGTCTGACAAGTATTCTGGAAGTTTCTGGTTGTAGCATAGAGGAGTTTACATGAGATTTGAGAAATCTTCACGGAAAAGGTGGTGAGAGAACAGAACCTTCAACACAAAAGGCTTGGTCAAGAAGGTTTTTGCTAGAGGAGTTTAGCGGGTGATGTGCTGTAGGAGAGGAGCTATCATTAGGTGCTGGAGAATACATACATTAGGCTGGGCACAAAAGAAGAGGTAATCAGGTGGTGAGCAACTTCTGCCAGGCCAATCAAGTGAATTCAGAGGTATGTTAGTGACTGTCATGATGTTATGGGAAGAAAGCACAGACTAGCGTGGTTCAGCCATAAACAACATTTACCATAGTACAGAACCAGACAGGCCTGTGAGTGGGTTCTAGCTTTGTTTGGTGTTGGGTAGATTGGGCACACATTCAAAGCCAAGTTCCCTTCTGGATCCACACTGTTCTCACTGAGTTGTCTCTGTCTTCAATGTCATGGCATATAGGATTTGAGACGCCATCTTAAAAAAATAAAATAAAAAACTGGAATTCATTGTGAAGGTCAATTTCCAGAGACAGTTTCAGGGTGTCCTGTTGCCTGGGTAGGTGTTTATCCTGAGCCTGTCAGCTGGGGCTTGCTTCTAGTGGCAAGCCCACCATTTTAGCTCTCATAGACAGTGTAGGATCACCTTTACAGTAGTTAGTATGGGAGTGGAAAGGTGTCCAAAAGGCAACTAGGGTAGAATTGGCTAAGGTAAGCAGAGCAAAAAGATGTTATTTTAGAAGAGCCACTGTCTGCTAAAGGTTCACAATGGATCTACTGATATTATGAATCAGTTTTGAGTAAGAGCAGGAACTAGACACTGGAAAATTTTACTGTCAGTCCATTGCCAAGGCTGGGACAAGGATTGAGACTTTATGAGGAATTGTAAATAAATTGGACCTTGTGGAAATTGACCTGTCAGCTTCTTGCAGGATGTACTGGAGATTGGGTACCCCAGAGGGAAGTAGGTGACCTCTGTTGGAACTCCTTATATTTCAATAGCCACAAAGTTCATAATGTATCTTTTGTGTGCTGTGAACTGTGGCGAATTCAGAGAAGGCATCTAAGACTTGACCGTGGCCCTTCATAGACTCTATAAGATGGGAAGAAAAATGGTCAATCATGATTTATGCAGGAATTCACACACTGAATGCACTATGCACTACACTGTTGTGGGAATGAACCACAGTCCACAGAACTACAAACAGGATGTGCCAGGGCTCAGGGAGCAAAGGCTTACAGAGAGAGCTACCCACTCGGTGGTCTTCAGTTACAGTTATTGATAAGTATTCAGTGACCCAGGTAGGCAAGAAACCCTCATTTCTTTGCTGAACACTAGGCCTAGGAGGTCACCGTTCCCCAGATTCAAAGTGGGTTGACTAGGTGGATAGTGACTTATTGCTCCCCCACAGTTTCTCTGGTTGGCAGCATGTGGGTCCACTCAGGCTTTGGTCTTAGAGACTGTCCGTGGCCAGGCTTTTCTCCCTGCTACTTGGGATGAGAACGGAGTGCAAACATGAAGACTCTGCTTTATGTTGTTACAATAGATTACAGAATCAATGCTTGCTTGGGCCTTGTGAAAGAGACATGAGTTCTATTCTCAGTGCAGTACCTGGGCAAATGTTCCATATGCTGAGCCTTGGCTTCAGTACTATAAAGAAGTGCCCTGGACAGAGAGGCTCTGGACAGCCTCTTTCACTCCTAGGCATCTGTAAATCCAATATAAACTGTCATCTGAACCTTATTCCAGAACATGCAATCACAACCCATACACCTTTCTAAGAAGTGCCATGAACTATGAAAACATGTAAGCACACAGAGGTTCATCCCAGAAGGTCAATATTTAGAAAACTAGTAATTAGGGAGATTGGCATGACAGGTGGAATGGAACACTTAAGGCAGAGTAAGTCTTCTCTAGGCAGAGGGGCAAGAGAGGAAGACAGTATGAGCACCCTCAAGACAATTTGAAGAAAGAAAAGTGGAAGTGAGGGGCCGGTCGGTGAAAGGGCTCACCATGAATGCTGCCAGCCTCTGTATCAACTCCATTCTGTGTTTGTGGAGAAGGGTCCCATTTGGGGGGCACGTGACTTAGAGCAGCTGAATAGACAGGTAGTCATCTAAGGGAGATGGAGGACTGAATATTTGAAGGTCCCTGAGAATTCAAGAAGGAGACCCACAGTTAAACTCTATTTCAGTGAGTCTTGTTGATATGTCACCTGCGGAGATGGGAGAGCACAGAGGAAGGGAGAAGGCGTTCTCTTGATATAGGGGCTTTTTCTCACTTCCATCCCTTAATTCTAAGACATTACTTTGCATCAAATTACAAAGAGAAAAGGAAAGAGCACATCAGCCCTCTGCAAGCCCCGGCCATTTAAGTTTTCGAACCCTATTTTATCTGGAGCAGCTCTGTGTGAGGAGAGGCCTGCTCCTTGTGTTTCACACTAATGGAGCTGAATGAATGCCCACAGTCAGCCACAGGCAGGGCAGCGCAGAGTCCTCCCATGTCTGACTGCCTGTGGTCCTTCATCAGCATCCCCGTCCGATGCCAGTGAGTTTTTCATCCCCAGAAAGGTAGAAACACAACTATATTTTTTATGACCAGGAGACGAGTTTATATTACCCTTGGATTAACTACAGAATGCCTTTTATGTTAGACAGACTAAATAGACATCTGTTTTTCTACAAACATCCAACTCCACACAAACAGAACATTCTCAGTTTGCTTTGAAAAGGAAAATACCATGTGTTGTGACTTTACAATGTTTTAAATAAAGTTAGGAATTTGGGTTTGTGAGGCTGAGGTTTTCATGAAATCAGTGGGTATGAGACCAAAAACTACACATACGAGCTCCTTTAAAATTCAATGAGGGGCAGAAACAAGGCAGACATTTCAACAGAGCGGCCATTGGATTGCTGTTTTAGACGTTCTATGAAGCGAGAAGTGAATTATTAAAGTTTATCGCCCTCATTGGCTTCTAACACTGTTACTCAGCGTGAGCATCGTTTTTAAAGTGGGAACGGCGCAGCCTAAGTAAGCCATTTACTGCCCGCTTCTACACGCTGTCGCTATTTCGCTCTTTATTACTTCATTTTGAAACTTTGATTGCTTTCTCTTAGATCTGAGATTGTTCTAATGCTATTCTGCAATCGTATGAGGGGCTTAGTTTTCACTTTGTTCTCAGAACCAGGCTGGCTATAAATTTATCTCAGTTCTTTGAAGAAACTAACAGTAAAATTTCAAGAGGAGAAAAATGGCGGCAGATATCCTCGCAGAGGGGAAGTAATCTCCTAAAAGCAGAACAGCCTCCAGGCTATGTCCCTTTAAACAGGCACTTTCAGGCAACGACAGCCTTTGCTTTCCACTGTGGTCCATGTTCAGTATTTTTCTTTGGGCTTTGTACCTGCTTTTCTGCTTTCTGCTAACGTTTTGAGAGTGGACCAGTCCCTCCTCATACTAATAAAATATGGAATGAAGTCACACTCTGTCCCCATACTGATGCTGCAGTACCTTCTAAGGCTACAGCCAAGTAGCACATACTGGAGATCACCCTAGGTTTCCTTGGGAAAATTAGGCATAGAGACAAAAGGTTGGACTTCTCAAAGAAGAAGAAGGGGGGAAAAAAAGAAGAAAACTCGCCTTTATGAAAATGGACTTCGTAAAGTGAACCCCATAGGATGTAGTCCTTGGGCTTAATCTCATTCCTTTCAGACTTTGGCTTCATTAAAATTCACCCAGCCCCTCCCAAGGTCTGCCATATCTCCTCATCAAGAGACAACAAGATCATTTAGAGTGAAAATTGCTAACACAGCAGGGAGAGCTTGTGACTATGTTTCTACAGTCACTATATCTGACAACTTTATCACCCTTCAGTTTTATTATTCCTGTGCCCTAAGCTGCATGTGGGCCAACATAACCCAAAGGGCTTTCTTACCTGTCACACACAAAGGACTGAAGCGCATGTTTAATGTAGGGGGTGGTTCTGAATGCCACCGGGTAATAGAAACGAAGCAGCTAGCACTGGGTGGGTTGCAAACTGTGGCATGGCCTGTGCCTACTGGCTTTGTGAGTAAGAATGGTGAGTGTTGGCATAAGCAAGCCATGATGGGCAGGTTGACTTGGCCAGCATACTTTCCAACTACAAAACATCTAGAGTCTCTCCTGCCATGTCCCCTGGCCTAATTGTCCTCTTTCTCATTTTATGCCCCTGCTAGACCACCGCTCTTGATAAGGAGAGGCAGGTTTTCCGACGAAGACGCAACCAGGATGTGAGGAGCCGGTACAAGGCACAGCCAGCTCCACCAGAACTCAACTCGGAATCAGAAGACTACTCCCCCAGCTCCTCTGAGACTGTTCGCTCCCCCAACTCACCCTTTTAATAGGACCCTTTTACTCCTAGCTTAACCCTTTAAGACTCTGAGATTCCCCCTTCCCCCAAACTTCTGTAAAACAGGTTCATCTGATCTATCTAGCACTCAATGCTTGAATGGCAGAACAGAAAGTATGTCTTGGGTACCTTTGTAGCAAGTTCCCTTTCACTGAATGAGAAGGCATGTGGTGTTTGTGATGACGACGGTAATTTGCTGCTAATAGGGGTCCTTAAAGGGTTAAGGTGCATTTGAGATTTTTTTTTTTTTTAACATAGAAGCAATGAATGTTTTCATCAGTCAAGCGAAGATCTGCAGTATGTAACATAGCACGCATTAGCCCTCTGAGTGCATAGAATTTTCTTGAGAATCCTTGCTGGGGAACATTTCAGACCCTTGAGTATATTCACACATAGTTCTTAATTTTACTGCAGACCAAGGGGCGTTGTTAAGACCCTAAAACATCCACACAAGAAGAGCATGGAGGATGAAACACTGCCGATCCTTCTCTGCGGATTTAGGACATGACAGGCTTTTATAATGTCAGCTGATGCACCCCTCTTTCCCAACCGTTTTCTGAAGAAGGGGAGTCATTTTCCTAAGTCCTTCCTATGGTTAGCTGCAGAGAGTTCTCTGCTTTTATTGGGGGGGGGGGATTAGGTTTGTGGCAGCCTGACCCAAGTGACTGACAGTGTCTCTCCCTGGCTCCATACAAAGATGTGCTGATGACGTCCTCTAAAATGCTGCTTCCCCATTAGCTGCTGCTAGTGCCAGGCAGACCCCTGGGGAGCCACCTAGCCTTGGCTTGTGCTTGGTGAGTTGGGATCTGTCTGCTCAGGATCAGAAGAGATCTAGAAATAATTGATGAAAAGAGCAATAAATTATCAGGTGCTCTACAGGGCTGGAAATCCAACCAGCAAGGGAAAGCAAGGTCCTGTGGGTTGTTTTTTTTCTTTCTTTTTTCCTCAGCTGCTTTTACATGGGACTGTAGCCACCAGTATGAAACCAACACAGAATACAAAAGACCTGGGGCACAAGGGATCAAGAGGCGAGCACTTTGCAAAGTGACAGAAGGGAAAGTACAGTGGAAACACAGGTTTTATAGAAATAAACCAGTTCCATAAGTAACTCTAGGGACCTGCAAGCCTCCCAGAAGATACCTTGGAGGCTGAAGCTGCCACTCCCACCCATGACTTTCTTTGTTATGGCATTGTCTCTAGGCGTCCAGGAGGGATGCATTGCTTTTCTGGTTTGGGGCCAAGGCCTGACTGGGATTGGTTTTTCACTCCTGTCACCCAATCTGTCTGCCCAGGCCTGAGTTTCTTTAGGAGCTGATTGCATTTTAGAATGTAGGCTTTCCTGTTCCGTATGTCCATGCTCAGGAGGATTCAGCAGTGTGTGGGAGGCAGGGCCAGCGCAAATGTTGCCCTAATGTTTTCTCAGCTTTGAGTGAGGAGAGAACAGTGATAGGTTCCAGAATGGCTACAAGTTCCTCGTTTTCTCTTTCTTACTTTGGATGTATTTTGTTGTCTTAGAAGTTATGAACAACCTTTCCATAGTCAGGTCTTTATTTTTAAACTCCACAGTAGTCTTCACTGGCTGTGTTTATACACAGTTATAAACTATGTTCCACACACACACACACATATAGACTTTCAAATGGCAGGATCCAGCATTTCCTGCTCTTCCACACTTAAATATAACATTTATTTAGGTTTTTTTTTTCTTTTAGAGAGTCCAGAAATGATAGCAAATAAAATCACAAAATGATATAAAGCAGTGTATCATTTGAATTGGGTGTTGGGAGCAGGGACAGGGCACAGACCACCAGGAAGGGTGTTGGTATAGGACCTAGAGCTGGAAATCACTACTTTCTCTGAAACAGAAAAGCAAAGCATCATTCCAGGATAAACAAGTAATGGCATAGCTGAGCCTCAACTCCATGTATGTGACTAAAAAACACCCTATGGGAAATATCAGAGTGCCACTTTCCTGTCTCTGAATTATTGCTTTCCCCCTGGTCCTTAACATACGGCCACAGTATCCAGGGGCATAGGCCCACAGCACAGGCCTCTGGCATTTTTTTTCCATCGATAATTTTTTCATCACGCTACAAAAGGACAGCTCAGAATTCAGAGCCTATTCAGAAGGATGATCGCAGCATATCCCTCTAGAATTTCAGTGATCTATGCTGAATAAATAGTGGAATGTAACCTGTCAAGTAGAAATATTGAGCAATCAGACGGAATGCAGTAATTCAGTAATCTTCCCAGCATTAAGCTACCAGGAGCTTGGATGTCAGAGCTGTTACTCAGAGGGGCGACAGACAAGCACAAGGCTGACGACTTGCTGCATCCAGATTGCTTTGGTTTTAGCCAACACTAATTTTTTCCCCTCAACATTCTCAGAATAGTTTCAGTTTGAAATAATTAAGTGGTGGTGTTCTTTGAATTTCTATAACCAAATCAATCTTATTTTTTATTTTATGTATCATAGAAAAACTACGTGCCATTATGGCTGTGTATCTCTGTAATTATCCACTTAACCATCATGAGTGTTTCCATATTTTTGAGTATTGAATATAACTCTTATGGTGGTAGTCTGGTGATGGGAATTGCCCTTCCTTTACCAACAGGACCCGTGCTGTCCTGTGGCATTTAAAGGATTCTTTCCATTTGAGAGTAGAGTAGTTGAACAATCATTACTTGCTTCCTGTAAATCAATTCTGTAGATGAGACCCGTTCATATTAATGAATTCATTTCCCCCTCAACATTGTAGCAGAAACTACTTTATTTGTCATGATCAATAAATATGTGATTTGTTCCAAACTATTAGAAGGGAAAGTTAAGATCTTCGGTCCCTGGAAATGTTCTGGCTGTAGCCCTCATCTGACTCCCACGCGGTGCAGATTAACATAAGTAGAGGGGAAACGTTAATAAACAACGGAAAACACTTGATGTTCTGTGTTCACTGTGACGTCCCTGCAATCTGCTTAGTGGTGGTTAGCAGGCCTGTCAGATAGTGCTGAAAGAGAACAGTATATCTGTGAATGAAGGCTAAAATTGCAATCCTTTACCCTTTGAGGCATATTTCAGTTGGAGAGGGAAAAAAAAGGAAAGAAAAATTGGCTCAGAGGGTCACAGAGCTACCAAATACCCAGGACTCAAGCACGTTAAATCATGGTTGTTTGCTCGCCAAAGGCATTTGCTAGACAACTCTATCCCCTGTGCTGAAGCGCAGTTGTGCTGAGGGAGAGTTTTCTTCACATTATTGTATTGCCTCTAGCCCTTCTCTGGGTAAAGCCCTGTCAGCATTTCCATGATAAACTCCTACTCTGGAAGGTTTTTAATTTGACCATAAAAATGTGCCTCAGGCTGAAGTTTGTTGATCAGGGCCTGTACTGAAGAGTAAGCTGGCACATCTCACTCTTCTTCTCAACTCCTGAGGAAAACTCAACACCAAGAATTCTGGGACATTGCCTTCATTGCGATTCCAAAGGTTTGGAATGCACCAAGAATCGGGATGGTAATTTTAACATAACTATCCATTTGGGCATGCTTTTTTCTAATGGATTACCTAGCATATACTATGAAATATTTTCCATGTGGGTTTTTTTTTTTTTTTTTTTTTTTTTTTTTTTTTTTTTTTTTTTTTTTTTGTCTAAAGATTTTTAAGAACTTGAAGTTCATTAGCTCAAATGTCCACTTTTTCCCTGAGCTGCCTGCCACTTCCTTTGGGAATTTGGAAAAAAAAAAACTCTCTGACCCAGTGGAGCATTGTCAGTAGTTTGCATGCTGTGTAGAGGGTCAGATAGATGCTTCTTTGGAAATCTGGATTTCCAAGTTTAGTCATTGGGTTTCATGAAGCTCCTCTAGACTGTTGGGAGAATGGTGGATAAAAAATCGCCCCCAGCAATTAACACATTTGGCAATTTAGATTCAAAGCCACTGTAAAATAACACACTTCATACTCCCCTGTTGAGAGGCAAATAAATCAGGGGAACATGAGGACATATGAAACATTTGATGACTGCAAACGTGCTTTACAATTGGGCTCTCCGGTGCTTACACATGGAACAGTTAAGAACGGGGACCCCGGATGTCAGATGGAATCTTTAGTTTGTATGTGATTACATACAGATGGGGGAGGCGCTCAGAGCGGCTCTTTTGTTTTTTAATCATCTCAAATATGCAGCCAGCCAGCCAGTAGCACCAAGGGTCATAAACTGGTGGGAAACAGGAAATTCAAGGTAGAGGTTTAGAATGCCTCTGCTTCGGCATTTTTGTTTGTTTGTTTGTGTTGCTGGCTCTCACACAGAGGCCTCTGTGGTCACTTTTTCGGTAAGTGAACATCTAACTGGCAGGTGCTGAGATCATGCAGTTAGCCCATGGAGACAAACAAGGGATATGGATTCACTGTTTTCTGTAAGGAAAAGGCAGTCTCTCAACCATCCCAATAATTTCTCCAACATTTTTTTCATTATCTTTTGTTGTTGTTGTTGTCAATTAAATTGAGACGCTTAATGTTGCTTTACTGTAAAATTGTATATTTTTGACTGTGACATACTTTGTTAATTTAAAGTAATTAGTGCTTAAGCCTTCAGAACTGTTGGTATTAAGAGTAGGACTTTAAAGAGGTGTGAAACATCCTAATAACGTCAATTCATTCCAAGTCAATCAGTTGTAGTTAGGGACAGACCTAGACTAGTTCTCTGGGGCAGTTCCTCACTTGCCCTTGACATTAAATCCTTGGTGTATTCAAAGAATAAATAAAAAGATACTGAAATGGGTCCAAGGTTAAAGTCATATCCTTGACAACTTTTTAAAAAATTTTTATCGGGAAATTAATATTAGCCTTTTTCATTCTAGCTGAAAGAAAATTATTAAAGGATTAGTTGAGTGTGAAATTAAATAGTATTTTGCTCCTGCATACTAAAGAAGGGGGCTGGGGACCTGACACGTTTAACAAGTTTCCTGAAAGGTTTTGATTTGGAGGGAAAAAAATTTTTTTTTCAACATTTCCTTTGGAGATTCTGCCTCTGTCACTTGCATGGATCGGATGGCATAGGTTAGTGTCTGATTTTGGAATCCCAATGAAATAACTTTCAAACAATTTGTACCCATGAATTAAGGTGGAATGAGATCCAATTTTCCCCCTAATCCTTCAGTTTAAGCTCATAAATTGTAGGTGAATGTGGAATGAAATCATCTGTGATATATTATGTTCATTTACCAAATGAGCTCTTTTGATGTTGCCTGTTTTTATGTAAAACATGTTCTTAAACTAATAAAGTAATATCTCTCTTGGTGTACAAACTATTCACAATGCCCTTCGCTGCTGGGCCAGCTCTTTGGTTTACATTGCCGTGATGGAGTAAAATTTCATTTTGGTTCAATTCAAAATTGACACATTCAGTCCAGAGAGGAATAACCCAGCTGTGTTCAGGGGTGGGGGCAGGGTATTCTCTATACAAGGCTTTAAAAATTAGTCATGCGGTCAGAATGTAGCTTTCCCACATGTCCTCCACAGCACAGTATATATTTCATGAGCATAATTCAAAAACAACTATTCCAAAAATGTCCCTTTTCATATATTACCTTCCTGGCTGGGCCAGTGACTTGGACAAACACAGAGAAATCAAATACTGTTCAGCATTATTTTATCCTTCAACCTGCATGCACAAGCTCTCCAGAGGAGACTGCTGTTTTAGCTGCTTGTCTGTAATTAGCTGCCATTTTGTTGCCCTTTCCCATTAGGTATTCCACGTGCAAGATTTTGACCTTGGAGAAAATTTCAGAAAGTTATGATGGCAGAAAGTTTTTTTCCTTTTGAGGTTTCCAATGCCAGGAGATTGACAGGACCCCTGGTGTCACTTTATGAAGGTGCCAGAATATCTCCACACTCCTGTAAAATTAAGCTGTCACCTTTCCTGCCATTCCCTTTGCTCTCTGCGTCTTTTCTAGACTCTTCTGGAAACCACTGAGAAACAATGATCAAAGTGATTGCTTCCTAAGAAACCGTATTCTTGGTTTATGAGACTGGTGACCTTGCTAAAGATCTGCCATTTAAAACTTTGGGGGTAAGTCTTGGTCACAACTTGGTGTTGAAGATGATAGAGCTCCCACACGTGGGAACTGGAAAGGAACAGCCTTGCCTGACCTAACCACAGTCCACTTGGTCTGGGGAGCTGGAGAGGTGGAATGTATTGTATACATAGCAGGCAGTTATGAAGACAGAGGTAAATATGAGAAACAGGTATCGAAAATTTTCACATCCTATCTCCTGAACAAAATAAGAAAGGCTTTCCTCTGTCTTAAGGGGTAGCCTGGTCCAGTCTCCTCAAAGAGGGGCACTAAGACAAGACACAGTGCCACACCCAGCCAGCTGGAACAGCCAGATCCATGCTGGCCATCAGCACTGTGACAGATGTCCAAGCCAGCTTGCCTGCATTTCAAATCATTCATTCATGTGTTTCTTGAGTGCGTGCCAGAACTGTGGATGGCACTTCATTTGGGCTTAGGAAAAACATTGCCCAATTTATTTTTTTGCTTTGGTTCAGAAGACTTTCAAAACAAGAAAATAGACTTGAGCCGACAAAGACAACATTTATTGGGGTTCTTGGTTCAGCATTCAGATGGCCTGGATCTAGACCTAGCAAGCTCTCCTATGTTTACAGCAACTTTGATTCTTGAAAAGGTGTGTCTGCCATCTGTCCTTGTGGTGGTACACACACCCCATGGTGATCTTGGCTAAGGCTCCTGGGCTCTGAGGTAGAAGGCATCCCAGAGTTCTCACTGCCATTTGGAATTAGCATAAGATTTTAACTTCTTATCCTACAGGAATGCTGCAAAATGTCCATTGGTTCAAAAAGCTTAACCAAGACTCACTTTGTATTACCGATACATAGTTGAGGGCAAAAGCAGCCATATTATTCCTGTACATAAGACACTCATTCTAGCAAGAAATCTTCTACTTTTTGGTCATCGTGTGGAGCCTGATTTATCACTCACAGATGGCCAATACCAGCCTGTCAGGGGTACAGCATCCTAACCAGCTTGTGACTGGCTCCCAGCATGTGTAGACAGTATAGGCTGCCTGCAGGCCAGCCATCATTGACATGCAGCTAGATCTGTGGTCCACCCACTCTGTTGTACTCTTAGGAAGAGGAAGTGAAAGGGAGAGAGTGAGGGAAGATAAAGCTGATGAAACTAAAGGCAGAAAAGAACCAAATTGCCACAGCTTTATCTTCTGGTGAGTCCTATATGTAATTGAAAAGGAAGAGAAGTAATGATTGCTTAATATACTCTTTAAAACTAGTCCCAAGAGATGCTCTGTGTGAGTCTGTAGATTTAACAAAGTTCTTGGTCCCATACACATTCTTCATCCAGGTGGACTGTGCCCTCTGACAGAGTGAACAGTAATAAGATGCCGTAAATGGCTCTGTCAGTGCACCCCCTCATAAGCCACGCTTCTTTGTACGTTCTTCCTGGACTTTCCAGATCCCATTGAAGGACCTATTCTTTTTACCAAACATCCCCAACAGAAGTTCATCCTGGGTCCCCACATTCCCGTCCAGTGTAAATCATAGACTCTTAGCTCCAGTTAAGCTCCTACCACATGCTTGTCCCTGGGGCAACTAAATGTAGGATTTACTACCCCCTTTCCAGGTTCATAGAAAGCAGCCACCCAGGGTGAGCCAAGGTGTGATGGCAAAAGCAAGGATGAGACACTTGGAAATTTCTTTCCAAGTTCATTTAGTAGCTAGGAGGCATTCACAGATGGCTTCCTGGGGAAGAGCACTGCTGTTGGTCAATTTCTGGTTACTCATAACCAAATATCACTATCCGAGTTAAAAAGAAAGTAAGATTATCTTGCTTAACAGCTCTGGGGGTACTAGGTCAAGGAGCCACTTCTAGTGCTAACTCTCTCATGAGTACAGTGTAGAGAGGACTGGAGT